AAATAAATAAAATCTTAACATGCATATTTAATATAGTCTAAAGTTTATCAGTAGATTATCTTCCTACTGAAAAGTACAAAAACCTTCATGCTTCAACTGTGATCACCTTTTTCCAATCTATAATTTATAAAAGTACTTGGTTCAGATTTGTCTCGAAACGAATCTGACATTACTTTGTTTTATTGTTTTGATGTTGCTGAATTGTATTTAAATATTTACCAACATCTTTGCTCACTGTCCCCTCTTGAATCTCAGACCTTTTATTTGTAATCTTTTTCCTTCTGCTTGAAGTACATTTTTCTTTATAATTTCCTCCAGTCTGGGTCCTAAAGTCTCTGTTTTTGTCAGTCTGGCAGAAAGATGGTTCAAGCAGGTAATGAATTCAGTTTAGCTCCTCTTTGTCTCAGAACATTAAAGATATCTTCTGGCATCTGTTTTTCTTGTCCAAGGGTCACTCATAAATTTAATTGTTGAAATTTTAAGAGTATGGATGATTTGCCTTTTTTGTTTTCAAAAAAAATAATTGCTTGTGAGATCTCTCTTCTTTGGTATACTGCAGCTTCTCTGTGCCTGGGTGAGAATTTCTTTCCATTTACCATGCATTGGACCTGATAGGTTTCCTTGTGTCTTCCAACAATGCTGGGAATCATCAGCTATTATTTTTTTATACCATCATCACTCTGTCTTTCATGTCTTAGCTGCCCGCCACACCTGAAAACATACTTTCCAATCTCTGCTTCGGAATTGCATGCTAGACAGTTTTTCCAGATCTAGCAGTTCATTCGCTGTCTTCAGCTGTGTCTAATATACTGTTAAATCGGCCCGCTGATGTTTTTCATTTTAATTAGTATATTTTCATTTCTAGAAATTATTTTTTAATTTACTTGATTATTTTTAGTTTCTTTACCCTGCTCCTAGTTTTAAAAGCACTTCTTTAAAACATGCTGAACAGAAAAACCAAAGATTAAAAAATAAATTAATTTAAAATTTTGAAAATAAAACAAAATCATGTTTAACCATAATTTTTTACTCTTTGCATAATATGACTGTTAAAAATCTTTCTGGATATTTTTATGCTTATCCTTTTTCGGTGTCTTGTTTCCTTGTGCGCTTTTTCATTTTTAAGTATGAGTTACTTATTTTCTTTGGAACTTTTCCTGTATAAATGATTTGAGGCCTGGTTGGAAAGGATTTGAGTCTATTTCTGCTTTGGGGAATCACTTGTTTATTCAACAAATAGACTGTGCTCTCCTACAAGATGCCAGGTACTCTTCAAGGAGCTTCTGTTACATCAGTAAACAAACCAAAGATCCCTGCTCTGAAGGAACTTACATTCAATGGGAAGAGACCCATTGGGAATGAACCCCAAACATAATAACTAAGTATCTCAGAAGTTGATAAGAACAATGAAAAACAAAAAATTAT